TGAGCCATTATTATTATTCTCATCTATCCTTCTCCAACTTTCTCTCACCTATAAATCTGAATAAAAGTTACCAGCGAACAGAGAAATAATATTAAATATAAACTTCTAAATTGTCATCATTCTTTTAATTATTAGCTTCAGACTTCAAACATTTAAAGGACCTGGGTTAAATTCCACCTCAAACAGATGGATCTAGGATCCTATGACTCTGGTCTAGTTTCTTCTGTCTGGTTTACAAGGTAACATTGCTGTCAAATGCCAGATACGTTACATGACATTTTAGTCCCTTTTTTTGCGCAGTTAAATTAGAGAACCATTCTTAAATTGGTTATCTGAACCTGATCAAGCAAAGTCTTTGTGCCATACTTAAAAACTTTAAAACTCAACAAGACTCCAGACTTATCTACTTTTACTTGATGCCTAACGAAGGAATTCTCCATACAACTAGCCATGATAACAAGGTAGTCACAAAACCTTTGCTTGAATGATTCTACTGACAGGAACTTATCATCACTTAACAAGGCAACTTATTTTCTTTTCAGATTACTCTTACTAAGTTCTTTATATGAAGCCAAAATCTGCTTCACTATAAGTTTCTATTAAATGATCTTCAGGAGCTTCATTTTATCAGACCAATCTCTATTCTGCACTATAAGGTATTAAAACAGGTACACCTACTTGCCTAATAAAGACTACATGCCGACCAGATATATACACAGCAATGTCCTTTATCTTCTTCAGCTTCCTATTATCTATCACCTGTTCCTTCCATATAACTTAAATTAACATTTCATGCAAGTGTCTTCCAAAAGTAAGAGTATTCAAAGCTAAGTTACAGCAGTATAAACCTGAGAGTAAAAAGGAAAAAAAAACCTAACACCAAGAAGAAAAGATATAGAAGAGAGAGCAGAAAAAAATACAAGAGATAAGTTATAAAAATCTGGCTTTGAATCTTTTCTGATTCAGTCATATAACTCAAATGTCTGTAAAATGAGGATAATACTCATACTAGCCATCTCACAAGGTTGTTGTGAGAAGAGATATCATTACTCAGAGGCTTCCTTCAAATTTCTATCCCTTACTTTTTGCCTTTCTTGGTATCCCCAGCACCTAAGCACAATTCCTCATACTCAGGAAGCACTTAAATAAACTTGACTGAGGCAGCTATGAGGATAGAGCAGCAGGCCTAGAGTTAGAAAGACTCATCTTCCTGAATTCAAATCTAGCAGCAGACACTCATTAGCTGTGTGACCTTGGGAAAGTCACTTAACCCTGTTTGCCTCGGTTTCCTCATCTGTAAAATACAGAAGGAAATGTCAAACTACTCTAGTATCTTTGCCAAGAAAACCCCAAATGGGGTCACAAAGAGTCAGATATGACTGAAAACGACTGAACTGAAGCTTGATTAACTTACTTCTCACACATCTTCAGCCCCATTTCTCCAGCAGACAAAAAGGATACCTTCACTAAAAGATCATGCTATCAAACTCCGTATCTCCTCAAAACCATTAAATTTCCAGCGCTTTCTTCTAGGGCTATATCCCAAAGAGATTAAACAAATGGGAAAAGGATCCACATGTACAAAATTATTCCTAGCAGCTCTTTTTGTGATGGCAAAGAATTGGAAATAAAGAGGATGCCCATCAACTGGGGAACGGCTGAGCAAGTTATGGTATATGAATGTAATGGAATACTACTGTGCTATAAGAAATGATGAACAGGCTGACTTCAGAAAAACCTGGAAAGACTTATATGGTCTGATGCTGAGTGAAGTGAGCAGAACCCAGAGGACTTTGTACACAATAACAGCCACGTTATTCAATGACTAATACTGTTAAACTGAACCCTTCTCAGCATTACAAGGATCTAAGATATCTCCAGAGGCCTCGGGATGGAAAATGCTGTCCACATCCAAAGAAAGAACTATGGAAGTCGAATCGCTATCATTTATTTTTACCTTCTGCTGAATTTTGTCTCATCTTTCTGATGGTTCCTCCTATTGGTTTTAATTTTTTACTTACAACTTCACTAATGTGAAAATATGTTTAATAGAATGTAAATGTAAAGCCTATATCAGATTGTGCACCGTCTTAGGGAGGGTGGGGGGAGAAAAATTTTCAACTCAAAAGAATATGGAAGTGATTGTTGATAAACCAAAATAAATTAATAAAATTAAAAACAATAAAAACAATAAATTCCCAGTGCTTTGTACGGTGCCTAGTACATAGTACAGGAGGTATTAACTGTGTCAACTACTGATTAACCTCTATGTTAGCTGTCAATGGCACCATCAATCTTGCCAGTCAGCAACTTAGGAATACTCTTTTCCTTATAGCAAACAAGCAGTCACTCCACCTACAAGGGTGGGAAACCTGTGGCCTTCTAGGTCCTTGGGTACAACCTTTTGACTGCGTCCAAGTTTCACAGAACAAATACTTTTATTAAGGAGAATTTGTTCTGTGAAGTTTGGATTCAGTCAAAGGGCTGCACTTGAGGATCTAGAGGGCCACATGTGGCAGGGAGGCCAAAAGTTCCCCACCCCTTTTTCTAAGATAATCCCTCAACTTCAAGCTTATTCTCTTACTTCCAAATCCCAACCTCTCATTGCCTTATCATGCTAATACTGATAGTCACTCTTGGGTGGTCTCTCTATAGCTAGGCTTCTCCTGTTTAGTACACAGACCACTTATTATGTAAGACATTAAACCCAAATTCAATCAATTCAATAGGCACTGGAGTGTTTCAAACTGTTCAGGCTGTCACTCCAGACTCTCAATCAACTATTTCCACCACATCTCCCCAACATTCTCTTAGTATATTCTAACAGTCTCTCTGATCTGACTACGTTCTTCTAACCTCATAAAAAGGCTTTTCCTTAGTTTCAACTAAAGGACATAACTCACATCCTCCCTTCTAGAACATTTTCCCAATCTCCCAATTCAATCTAATTCTTGGCCATCTTTCATAAAGCCCAGATTCAGACTGGTACTATGAAGCTTTACCAAACTAGAATCCTGGAAGAGTGACCCTTCCCTTATAGTGACTTCCCTAAACATTAATAAATAATAATAATAATACACTTTCTCATGAGTTTTCCTTCTCTCATGTGATAGATGTATAGGTTTGCATGCGTGTTCATGCGAGTGTATCTGGAACCAGCCCAATTCTTGCTCTACTCAAATAAATCAAAATCCTAAGTGGTAGGAAGGAGCAGGAATCACATCTTATTAAAAAAAAAACACTACAGGAATTATTACAATATTCATAAAAGATTCTAAATAAGTGCTTGCTGCATAAGCTCTTGAAGCAAGCTATATTCCCTCCTGATTCCCAGGACTCTAAGCAAAACACAAAACCCAAAGGAATGGTACCTAGGGAACCAGATTTGGTGCACAGGTAAATTCCGATTAGTGAGAAAGAATCCCCTGAAGTACTATAGTCACATTATTTGAATTTACACTGTGTACTTCCACTGGGTTGGAATCAATTACCATATTTTACATAATTATAACTTAGAAAAACATCAATTCAAATACATGCAATCACATCAAGGGATTTATTATTCACAATAATCTGGACCTAGTTGTAATAACAGAGTGCTAGAATGAGAAGATCAGGGTTCAAGTCCCAGCACTGTCAATTACTTCCTCTATAACTTTAGGGAAGACAGTTTCTTCATATATGAACTGAAAATACTAGATTACATGATCCCTAGAAGTCTCTTACATAACATTTTTGTAATTTAAGAAATTTTCCTTATTTCTCCTGCTTTATTGTAAACTCAGAAGAAACTTGGGAACTAAAGTTGCACATGTCCTATACCCTATTCAAATAAGCTGCTGCTCTAAGTTCCTTTCACGGCCAACAATGTAAATGTGCCCTTTCTGAGCTACTCTGGTTTCAAATTCCAACTTGCTATTTAATGGTAGACTACGTGTGTACCCACAGGCAGGAAACCTAACTTTTCAGAGCCCTAATTTCCTCATATGTAATGTGACAGAGTTAGATTAGGTAATTTCTAAATTCCCTTTTCTGTCCAATGACAGGATTTCTACTTGAGCCTGAGATAGCCCTCTCATGTCATCAGAGCAAGGCATTTTCTAGAGAAAACACAGTCTCTCCAAGACTAAAGCAAATGGATTATATTTATAGTCCTAAAATAGTTCTCATGAACACTCTGAAAAATTAGCCTCTAAAATTTCAATATCCAAAGGATTAAGAAACATATTTTTCCTTAAAGATCACTGCACTGACTTTTATAAGAGTTGTCTTATTTAGACTCAAACTATCAAATGATAAAACAAAAAGAAAATGTAAAATCTTGGTATCCTATAATGAATAAGTTAACTACTTTTGTTTTGTCCCTTAGAAGTTGCTTTTAACATCTTAAGTCCAACGAGGCCTCAGGATTTAGGTTAAGAGAAAGTAATCTATTCTGAATCCAGTAAATTCTTTGCCTGATCTCAAATTACACAGATTACTTTGGGAGGGGGGGAAGAGAGTTAGATGCTTGGACTAGCGGCTGGCTGAAACCTTAACGACTGTCCCCTGCTTAAGGAACTTCTAGCCATCAAAAGCAACTAGGTGGTATAGTGGAAAGAGTACCAGCCTGGAATCAGGAGAACCTCAGTTTAAATCTTGAATCAGACACTAGCTGTGTCTGTGTCACAGCTGTGACCCTGGACCCTCTGTTTGCCTCAGTTCTCTCATCTGTAAAATGGGGATAATAACAGCACTAACCTCCCAGGGTTATTGTGAACTACTGATTGTAAAGTGCTCAGAACGGTGTTTAGCGCACAGTAAGTTCTATATAAATGATAGCTATTATCATTATTATTATCTGAGTCTACTCCAAGCCTCTAAAGCCTTGGTCAAATGTGTCAAATTATAGGGAGCAAACCCTTACCACAAACAAAAATGAGCATGACAACTGGTTTGGAGCCCTATAGTTTACAAGTCATAAGCAGTCTTTCCATTTATGGATTTTTAAAGGTACATACCAGTTTGGCTTGTGCATCTGCAATTTTTCGATTATTCTCTTCCAGTATTCGCTCTAGTTCCTCACGTTTTGCACGCTCTTCCTCCTAAAGGGGAGGACATGGTAAGATGTTAGAAAAGTAAAGTATTTTTTATTTGTGCATCTTTACTAATCTTCCTCTGAATTTTTTTGTGAACTGACTTACAGGGCAGCTTTATAGCCACCTTTTGTCTGACAAATGGTAAACTGTGCAGCCACTAAAATTGGTTCTAGTACTAAATTTAAAGCATCCCTCCCAGTCCAAACAGCAACCAACTAAACCCTCCCTAATCATAGATTCCTGATAGTTATTACTAATACTTTAATATCACACAAATCAACAAGGACAACTACAAAACTGGATAGTATTTACCAAATTAAAAAAATAATATATAAAATATAAATAAAGTGAATATTTGTCTCACCAATTATGTATACCTACGTATTCTTTACCTATACTCCTTTAATCAGCATTAAAAGTTGAATATTTACTGTCTTGTCCAGTGTCCTGCAGAGTGTGCTCCTCGGCTGCCATACACGCCAGCTTCCTCTTTAAAATGATTTGTACTGTTAGCTTGGCAATACCTGCATCAGCAGCTCAACCATTTATAAAGAAACAACATACAAGGAAGGCTGAGCTGAGGAATGCAGATGTTTATGGTAAGAAGGAACAAAAAATGTAATTCATCATTCCTAAGGCAAACAATTAATAAGAAAAATACATTTACTGTTAGTGAAAAATACAAATGGTAATCCATACTTCATGGAACTAAGGGCTTCTTCCATAGGGAAAATGGACTTAACATTCAGTATGTTGACAATTTCTTAAGGCAGCTTAAATTGTCATCTACAGTTTGAACTGGAATTCAGGAATCCAGGGGAGGCATGGTCAGGAAATAAAGTTCTGTAATTTATTTTTCTTGGAGAATTTAATGAAATTTTGTTATGCAAACTATATGAATACTGCATGATGGTTTGGGCAGTGTTCAGTTTACAGCATACATGATTTTAATATTTGGGAAGACTGTCAGAGGATTGTGTCCGTGTGAAAAAAAATTGTTAATATGAAACAAAGCAAGCATATGAAGAGAAAAAAAATCTTACTATGATTAGTAACTCGCTACAAGACAGCACTATTACTCCAAAAACATCTTCTTATTAAAAGCACTGATATATACCACATTTAACAAAATTTACGCACATAAGACCTATGGAATTAACTAAAATCCATCGTAAACAGAGAATTGTGTGTTTATCTTGGCAAAGTTAACATGAGAAAACTTAAAATAGCCTTTTAAGTTAAAAGCAAATAGGATTTGGTATTCTATTGTCTATAACTAGAAAACATTAAAATTAAGAGTGACTATTAGTCACAGAAATTTAAGAACAAACTACTACAGTTTCCTGTAGTAAACAAGTCATTTGCATTTCTGCCAACATAAGTGGAGTATCACTCAGTGCTATAGTTTTGCCTCAAAAGTCTCAGTGACTTTTTAGAAGTTTTAGAAATCTGGAGTAATTGGTGCAAACAAGCCATAGAGACTTCAGTAGCAAATTACTGTCTCACAGAAAGACATTTTCAACTTCTGCTCCAGCTGCTGATAAAACAAATCATGTGTTTAGCTTGACTCCAGACAAGGACAACCTGTTCCTTCATAACTCTCTAGAGAAAAAAGGAGTTGTTAGTAGATACTAAAAAAAAAAATGGATAATAATCTGGACATTTTTCCTAAAAAGATTCTTTGAAACACATTAGGACAGTGGAGGGCCTTAAGGATCAGAATGCCAAGAATTAATCCATTGTGTTGAGGCAAGATTTGAAGGGTTTTTTTTTAAAGGGAAAAAAAGAAGAATAAGAAAACCTATTTGTCAAAAGCAGGTGCTGTCGCTCAAAGCTGGGCCCTGCTCTTTTTAAACTGACTGAAGGCAAGAAGCCTCTCACAGTCTAGGTAAATAGAATGATAAAACAGAAAAGAAGAATACATAACCACAGGTGGAGTTTAACCTTTTCCCTTTACCAAGTCTCCAACCCTCCTCTTCCCCCGCCCCGAAAAAAAAGAAAGGATTGGTTGTAGGTCCTGCAGCCATGGCAAAAGTTTCAAACACTTCTCAAATATGTAGGCCAGTTCCATTAAAATCAAGTATCCTTGAATAGGTTTTAGGAGAATAACTGTTTAAAGCATCAGTCAGCTCTTCTGAATAGGCTAAAAATTAACTTCCGCAGCAATGCAAGTTTATATGAGAAAGGAATTAGATAGTCTGTATTCCATCTCTTTCTGAACTGAACAGGAGGCACAACCCAACACTGAAAGTTTTGCCATGGACTGTCTCTACTTTCCAAACGACCGAGCGTTACCTCTCTAGCTTTTTGTGCTGCAAGCTCAGCTTGTCTCTGTCGCTCGAGTTCTTCGAGCAACTGCTTTTCCATGATGCGCTTAGCTTCTTCTACCCTTCGGAGAACTTCTCGCTCAATTTCATCTTTCCTTTTCTCCAATTCTTCCTCTACTCGTTTTGCCACAAGTTCTTCCACTCTTCTCGCTGTTTCTTCCTCAATGAGCTTCTCTTCTATTTCCTGCTGTCGACTAGCAAATGAAAGGAAAAAAAAACCAATAAAGCATGTAGTTTGAAAGATATAGTAGCATATATTTTGTCCCCAAATTATCATTTTGTTTTTAGATTTAATAAAACAAGAGCAATTTATAACTTCACAGCACTATAGGATTTATAAAGCATTTCCCTTGCAACTGTCCCTTAGAATATTTCCCTTACAACAGATACATAATAGATAACAACTATTATCTTGTGCATTGCACAGTTAAGGAGAATGAGGCTCAGAAAGGCCAAAAGGTATCAAAAACAGGATTCACATCCAGATCTCCTGATTCCAAATCCAGGGATCTTTCTGCTTTAGCACTGAGATCAAAGAAATACATCATAGACTATGAAGCTGAAAGGGACACTAAACATTATTTAGTCTAACTCCCTCATTTTACATAGAAATAAAGATTCAGTGACTTGCCTAGGTTACACATGAGCTATAAGGTGGAATTCAAACCCAAAGAAATGTTGAATCTTTTTTAAAAAACCTCAGAAAAGAACTCTTCCATACAATGTGCTTCTAACAATACTGAGACTTTATGTAGATACAAAGAAATCATACAGAAATTAAAAATGAAGAGACCCAGAAAAACTAGAAAGGAGGATTTAGAATTGAGTCCCATCTGTGCATATCCTGGTTCGGTGGCCACCACAGAGTAGTAGAAAGAGTAATGTACTCAAGTTGAAGGATCTGTATTGGCATCCTAGTTCTGCTACAACCCACCGGACTTTGAGGAAGGCATTTGGCCTTTCTGGGTTTCAGTTTCCTTATCTGTAAAATAAGAGGAGCTCTCTAAGGTCCATTCCAACTCTAAATCAATGATCCTATTAAGTCATTTGTTCCCAGTTCAATAAAGAAGAAATATCCTCTGACTTCAAGTCAGTTTTCCCTATTCCTTATAAAACATACAGAGAAAGCAGATGTGCTAGGCATGGCTATTTTATGCTAACTGGTTTTTGCAGAAAATTAAAAGGTTTTTGTCCCTTTGGGAAACCTCAAGGGATAATTCTGTCAAATATAAAGAGATCCACAGAGTGGGTTAGCAGAGAGCAGGGTAAGTAGGGGAGCATGGACATTATTTCTTTCTTTCTTTTTTGCTTTTTGGTGAGGCCATCAGGATTAAGTGACTTGCCCAGAGTCACATAGCTAATAAGTGTCAAGTGTGTGAGGACAGATTTGAACTGAGGTCCTCCTGATTCTAAGGTCAGAGCTCTACCAGAGCTCTACCCATTGTGCCACCTAGCTGCCCCAAGTTGACATTATTTCTTGCTCACAGCATTTATACTAAAAAAAAAAAATTAATGGAATTAAAATGAGAAAATCACTGGTTTTACAAATTTTCAGAAAAATGTGTCTCATCAACATTTATTAACTAACAAACTTTAGTCCATACCATGTAGCAAATAATCTAGTCAATTCTCCAAATCTTAATACATTCAATTGACATTATATTCTTAAGAAACTGTGATACTACTCTATTCTTCAAAGTATTTTTAATGTGTACATAGTGTATGTATTAGAAGCTTATTTAATTTTGTTTCAAAAATTCTTTACAACTCTGAAGGATTTGGGATGCCACAAGCTGTGAACTAGTGTTCATTTTGTAGTATATGAAAATGCCAGTGTTCCTAAGTCACAAAGATAGTCCTTAACAGATGCAGTGTAACAATCTAAACTTACTGGTGGTCATTTGAGCAGTTCTGGATGTTAGCTATATACTGTACCAGTTCTTAATAAGTGCTAGTTGACTTGATTTGCAACTACAAAATATTGAATGCCTTTTAAGAACCATGAAGATAGCCACCACCCACTTTGTTACTTTGACTTCTACCTTTCAAAGGCAAGTGTTAAATTATGGAATTATCTATATTCCTGTTTTTCCCTTCTCTTTTCTACATATCCATTTTTTCTACCTTTCTTCTTAGAAAGCACTCTACAGTAGGAAATCAAGTAGTGTGCTTAAGATCATCTACTTCACAAGGTCATTAGGAGGAAAATCCTTTGTAAACTACAAGGAGGTGGATTTACAATTGGATGGATTCTTGGAGGTGGTCACTAGGATCATAAATCTAGAGCTGAAAATGAACTCTGAAACTATTCTAACTCTCCATATAACTTTAACAGATAAGAAGACTGAGGCCAAAGGAGGATAAATTACTTGCCTGTAGTTGAAAAGGAAGCATGGGAACTACAACAATGTATTTAAGACATGCTAAGGAGCAGGAGGGAGGGAAAGAAAGTCTACAACCAACAAGACTTGGGAAGGCAGCAAACTGGCAAAACATAATGGAAGCTGGCAAAACTGTAATACTTATTTTCAAGGCTGCTTTGACTCCTAAATAAGACAAGATACTGACATCTGCTAGAGCCAATTAAGAACTGGCTAAAATAAAGAGTACTGGAAAGATCTGACGGAGTCCAGTCTGGTGAGCTTATACTACAATAAAGTATCGCTATAACTAAAAATCAAGTGTCTATGAATTACAGCATTATGCTTGATTGTTATTCTTTGCCCTTAAATGCTCCTTCAACCTCTTGTTTGACCACCTCTTACTGCTTTATTTAACAGCTTTACCAGTATGGGTGAAAATTAAAGTGAGTCAATTTTTCTATTTTAGAGGCTCCCACTGGAAAAAAGACTTAATGGGGACAAGTTAGTAGAATTACTGGTTACAAGGAAGCTTTCATTCAAAATGATAAATTTGTTCACATCAAGCTGTTAAATAAGCTATGCTACACATACAGTTTTACTGATATTGGGGGAACAAGACGGGCAGGAAGAAAATCCTTCGAACAAAGAGCCAATCAACATTTATTAAGTGCCTACTACGTGCCAGAAACAGTGCTAATCAATGGGGATACAAGAAGAAAGAAAAGACAGTCCCTTGCCCTCAAGAAGCTTACAATCTAGTGATGGCGACAATACGCAAACAAACATATATAATCACAGACGGAAAGGCACTAGAATTAGGAGGGATTAAGGAAGGTTTTTAGTAAATGATACAATTTTAATTGCGACTTGAAGCCAGGGGGGTCAGTAGGCAGAGTAGAGAAGGAAGAGGTTCAACACATGGGAGACAGCAGCAGAAAATGGGCAGAGCTGAGAGATAAAGTATCTTGTTTGTAGAATAGCAAGGAGGCCAGGGTAACTAGATCAAATGTTGGGGAGTAAGGTATAAGAAGACTGAAAGTAGAAGGGGGCTAGGTTATGAAGAGCTTGGAATGCCAAACTACTATTCTATATTTGTTTCTAGAAGCAATAGGGAACCACTGGATTTTTTTGAGTATTAAGGGATAAACAGACCTGCATTTTGGGAAAATCATATTAGTGGCTGAATGGAGGATGGATTGGAGTGGGGAAGAGACTTAGGGAGGCCAACTCACCAGCAGGCTAGTGCAATAATCAAGGCTTGAGGTGATGCACAGAGTAGTGGTATTATCAAGAAGAGAAAGGGGTGTATTTGGGAAGTGTTGCCAAGGTGAAATTGGCAGGCCTTGACAACAGCTTGGATATGAGGGGTGAAAGATAGTGGGGAATCCAGAATGACTTCTTCGTTGTAAGCCTGCCCTCTACAGTAATAGATAAGGTGGAGTTGAGGGTATGGGGGAAGGGTTTAGGAAGAAATTAGATAATGAATTCCATTTTGGACATACCGAGTTTAAGATGTCTACTGGACATCCAGTTGGAGAGGTCTGAAAGGCAGTTGGACATGCAAGACTGGAGGTCAGGAGATAGGGTGGGGTAGAAAAGGTAAATATGAGTTAGCAGAGAGAAGTCATTAAATCAATAAACAATACAGTGGAAGAAGAGAGCGCAGGACAGAATGCTGAGGAACACTATGGTTAGAGGGCATGATCTGGAACAGGATCCAGCAAAGAGACAGAGAAGAAGCAATCAGATAGGAGGAGAACCAGGAGATTGGTATCCTGAAAACCTACAGGAAAGAGAATGTCAAGGAGGAGAGAATTATCAACAGTATCAGAGACTGCAAAGAGGTCAAGGAGAATGAGGACTGAGAAAAGGCCACTGGATTTGGCAACAAGAGATCATTAACAACTTTGGAGAAAGAATTTCAGTGGAATGAGGTCGGAAATTAGACTGCATGGATTAAGATAGTGAGAAAGAGAAAGTGGAGACAACCCATTGTAGACAGTCTTTTCAAGGTATTTAGCTACAAAAGGCAGAAGGGATACAGGATCATAGTGAGGGTTTTTTTGAGGAGACGCAGACATGTTTGTAGGGAGCAGGAAATGCACCAGTAGAGGGAGAGATGGAAAATAAATCAGAGTGGGGTAACAGAGAAGGAAATCTGTTATGGAATGAGATCATTTGAACAAGCAGAGGGGCTTACCGTGGCAAGGAGTGACACTTTATCATGTGAATCAAGGGTGAAGGAGGAGAAAGTGGAAGAAGGCATGAGTGATATGAGGAAGAGGGAAAATAAGAGAATTCATAGATAATAACTTCAATTATTTCCTGTAAAATATGAGGCTAAGTTTTCAGTTGAGAGAGTAGGGGAAGAGAAACCATGTGAGATTTAAGGAGGGATAAAAAGAATCACTATAGAGAATGGAATAGTGAGTTGATAAGGGAGGCAAAGTAGGATTGTCCAGCAGCAAGTGAGGACCCAGTTGAAGCTTCGTAGCATAAATTTGTAGTGGAGCACTCAGTCAGAATGGCTGCATCATTTTCTCTATCTTCATTTGATAGCAACAGAATAGAAGCAAAAGTGGGGGAGATGGAAGGCTGAGGGTTGGCTGGGCATAATCACTGACATGTCAGGCAGGATAAGGACTCAAGGGAGGACAGTACAGAGCTGAATTAGTTCATGAAGGGGTCAAGATGGGGAGAAGAGTGTGGCTAGTGCTGAGGAGATGGTCCAGGAGAGAACTGAGGGGTCAAACTACAGATGAAGAGCAAGGTTATATAAGGGAAGGCAGAGGGAAAGGGGAAAAAACCCAACAGATTATGGTTGGATAAGG